TTTGCATTTCCCTGATTGCTAAGGATGTTGAACACTTTATGTGTCTTTCAACCATTTTAGATTCCTCTATTAAGAATTGTCTATTTAGTTCTGTACCCCATGTTTTAATTGGATTGTTTGGTGTTTTGGAGAATAGCTTCTTGAGTTCTTTGTATATTTTGGAGATCAGCCCTCTGTCAGATTTGTCAGCCCAGTCTGTGGGCTGTCGTTTTGTCTTGCTGACTATGTCCTTTGCCTTACAGAAGCTTCTCAGTTTCAGGAGGTCCCATTTATTAATTGTTGATCTGTGTCTGTGTTACTGGTGTTATGTTCAGGAAACAGTCTCCTGTGCCGATTAATTCAAGGGTATTTCCCACTTTATCTTCTAGTAGGTTCAGTGTGGCTGGGTTTATGTTGAGGTCTTTGATCCATTTTGACTTAAGTTTTGTGCAGGGTGAAAGTCGTGGGTCTATCTGTAGGCTTCTACATGTTTGCAACCAGTTATGCCAGCACCATTTATTGAAGATGTTCTCTTTGTTCCAGCACATATATTTGGAATTTTTGTCAAAAATCAGGTGTTCATAGGTGTGTGGGTTAATATCAGGGTTTTCAACTCTATTCCATTGGTCTACATGTCTATTTTTGTGCCAATCCCAAGCTCAACAAATTGGATCTAGAAGAAATCAAATTTCAACATTATTTAAAAGTCTAAATTTCAAAGTCTTTTCTGAGATTCATGCAATCCCTCAACTGTAATCACCTGTAAAAATAAAAAATAAAACTGCCCAAAGCATATCATATACTCCCAACATATAATGGCACAGGCTATACATTACTATTCCTGGGTGTAGGAAAGGGAGCATGTTGAGGAAATACATGATCAAAGCAAGATTGATCACAAACTCCAAACCCTTCATCTCCAAGGCTGATGTTAAAATGTTCTTCAGATCTCCATTCTTTAAGCTTGTTGACTGCAACACACTTCTTTCTCTTGGCCTGGTTCCACTCCCTGTTAGTAACTTTCTTTGGCAGTTATCTCATAATTCTGTCATCTCTAACATCTTGGGTCTTCCAAGGCAATCCAGGCTTCTTCACAGCTTCACACCATGGCCTCTCTTGGCCTTCATTCCGGGATACCCCTGATACATTCCAGGACTCAGTAGCTTTCTTTAGTCATGGAGGAATACTTCACAATCCCTTTCTTCTGACCTTGACTCTAAAGCCAAAACCACACAGCCAATCCTGCCAAATTCTACTGCTTGGTGGGACTAGAACATAGCCAACTTGTTCAATTATATCTTCAGCAGCTTTCTGCTTTTGATAGTTTACTTCACAGCCAAAGCCTGGCTGTCATCAAACTGGATCTGTAGATAAGGATGGCCTTGAATTCAGAGATTTCCCTGAGCCTTAAAATTCCTTCATCAACATTAAGCTGAGGTTATCAGGCACCTCCAACTCCTTTTCAGTAGACCATCTCTTGATTATTACTTCATCTGACCATCCAAACTAGCTTGTGACACCTTTTTTTTTAAACTGTGTGGTCTTCCATATTAAACCTAGAATCTCCACTCAGAGTGCCCATATCAATAAACTCAGCCTGTTCTCCTATTATGTTTCTTCTACCATTGTCCCACACCCTTTAAATCTATTCCCAAAAATATTACCCAGACTTGTGCTTGAATAAATTAGCAAAATCATTAAGCACCTTAGCAGTGTAGCAAACTTCCCCATGGACTACACTTTCTACTTCACCTCTGGGAGTCTGCTTTGCCTTGGTTCTGGTTATAGGTCTAGAGGCAACTGTTGGTGGGCTTTGAGGGACATTGTTATTGCTTTGCATGGCATTTCCTTCTACAAAAAGTCACTGCTGTTTTAGCAGACACTAAAGGTTAATTTCCTCAGTGTAAGGTGAAAAGGGTGCTATTTGAAGGGGCAGGGCTGAGGTAATATTTCCTCAGGTTAGGTAAACCCTTGAGAATCTGAAGGTTCAAGGTTCTCAGCATCAATAGCATCCTCCCACACATCCCATCCCAGGTTGTAGGATCCCATTCTTTACCAATCAATGCCCTTACTATAACCTCTGACACCCTCTGAGGCTGAGACATGAATTTTCACTGTAATTCAGCCAATCTTACAATGGGGGCTTTGGATTGATTTTCTGCTACTGGAGCTATGTGGCTGCTGGAGAGAAGACTGGGAGAGCACACTTAGACCTTTAGACTGTTTATTCACATCTGGAGGTGGTCAACTTCATTACTAAGCCCTCTGTTGTGGTTCACTGTAATCCAAAGTTGGTTAATTTTATCATGGAGCATATTTCTATCCTTATCAGTTTATCTAGAGATATTAAGAGCAACCAACCTTCAGCATAATTTTCCTAATTTTCCCCAAACTGCCAAAAGTTTCACTAAATCCATGGCCATTCACTATTGATGAATCCAGATAACCAGTGACATTTATCTCTTCAAGTTTGAAATATGGCTTATACCATGGGCTTTCAGTATTTTCTGAGCTCCCATTAGAAATGGTAGCAGAAAAGTCTTCAGTAGCAGAAGATGCTGGTGAATTTGAAAGTGCTGTCGAATTAAAAACCCTATTCCAGATATTTAAAAGATTCCTCTTCATACTTCTGTTTCTCTAGAACCACTCTTGTACCAAAATCTATATTGGGGTTTCCATTGCTGTGAAGAATCACCATGACCATGGAAACTCTTATAAGGAAATTATTTAATTGGGTAGTTTACAGTTCAGAGGTTCAGTCCATTATCATCATGGTGGTACATGGTGGCATGCAGGCCAACATGATCCTGGAGAGGTATCTGAGAGTTGTACATACTATGTAGGCAACAGGAAGTAAACTGAGCCATTTGGGCATGACTTGAACATATAGGAGCACTCAAAGGCCTCCTCCAAAGTGACATACTTCCTCCAACATGGTCATACCTATTCCAACAAAGCCACACCTCCTAATAGAACCACTATTTATGGGGGCCAATTACATTCAATTCACCACAACAACCTAGTGTAAAATGTGTGGTCCTCAGTCCTTCCTTTGCGTGAATGACTCTTTAGAATGAATTAATTTTCCTCTCTTCTATTGTTTTTCCCCAATACCAGGGATGAATTTCCATTTCTTTTTTAAA